TAAAGCTGTCTCCTGAATTGCTTTACCCGTAGTAGGTGGTGCAAGAGACACAGTGGACCAGGCAGAGTTACGATGAAAGAGATGGAGAGGGAGACAGAAAGTAGAAAACAAACAAACAACAAAGTTACCTGGGGACGTTTCCACACCACCTTCCCGGGAAGCAGTCGGTTATAGAAAAGTGAATCATTCTCAGGCAGAAAGGTTGGGTCACAGAAAAGTCTGCCATCTTTGATGCATTCCTGCTTCAGTTCCTGGTACTTCTGGTTTTTGAAGAGCTTCAGAGGAGGACCCATAATGCCAAACTATGTTGAGAATGAGAAAATTTGTGGTCACTGAAGGAAGAAGACCTTAAGTCTTTTGAAGATGACCTGAAATTAGACATTAGCTAATGTCTAGCTCCAGTGACTTATTCCTGGAGCTAGGCACTTGGAGCTTGGCTTTAAAAGAAAAGTGAAGGGACACATGGGTGGCTCACTGGTTGAGTGTCTGCCTTCGGCTCAGGGTGTCCTGCTTCTCCCTCTGCCTGTGTCTCTGCCTCTCTCCGTGTTTCTCATGAATAAATAATTTTAAAAAAATTTTTAAATAAAAAAAGAAAAGTGAAGATTTTCAGGGAAAGTAGGGTCCAGGCTCTGCAAATAATTAGTTTAGCATGGGGCTTTGGCTAGGTGCCTAACACATTTTGGGGCCTCAGTTTCCTCCTCTGCCAAATGGGGCAATATGGGCCTTAACAATATTATTGAAAAATAGATAACAAATGTTAAGATTGCTCGGTAAATCTGAGTCACTGTCACTTAAAGGGCAATCTTCCATTTACATTGACAGAGAGGAGTTTCAGGCAAAGGACAATCAAAATTCGAAATTCAAAGATAAAAGAGAAAAATCGTTTTACTATATTCAGAAGTTGGTGCCTGAAGGGCCACACACTTTGTGCTTGAAAGGAGAAGCCTTTCACTTCTAAGGAGCCTTTTTACACAATTCCTTCCCTTGTATCATTTAAAGAGCTTTGCTTTTTTTTTTTTTAATTACTGGCCAGGAAGGCTAATGCAAGCAACAGAGCTCAGCAGATGGCCTCCAAAGACAAGGAAAGATAGAAAGATTGTATGTGTCTTTCTTCTTCAAAGTCTAACATGCAATCATTTGCCCGCTTTAAAAGGCAGACTCTGAAATTCAATTACACTAATTTGATGGACTATAGATTCTTATCCCATGGCAATACATTACATTGTTGCTTTCTTTTCTTTAAAAAAAAATTTGCAATGGCTAAATAGAGAATTAATATAGAGCTCTTCAGGCAATGATCTATCTGAGTGCCCCACACTCAGATGTCCCTAACAACTGGTTTTTATAAGGATAATTTGAAAGGCAACTTTGATTTTAAATAGTTTTGGGGTGATAATAGGGTTCTCAATGCCTTTGCTTAATTCACAAAGATAGATTCATAATGATTTTATTTTTTTATTTTTTTTTAAAGAAAATTTTTTTTAATTTTTTTAATTTTTATTTATTTATGATAGGCACACAGTGAGAGAGAGAGAGGCAGAGACACAGGCAGAGGGAGAAGCAGGCTCCATGCACCGGGAGCCTGACGTGGGATTCGATCCCGGGTCTCCAGGATCGCGCCCTGGGCCAAAGGCAGGCGCTAAACCGCTGCGCCACCCAGGGATCCCTCATAATGATTTTAATGATTCTCTCTTGACACTCGATTGTTAGTAAGCAGAAGGTTGTGAAATTTACATATTTCAAAAAAATAGTTTACAGATAACTGTGTCTATATTTCATTGTTACATGCAGGTGGGAACAGGAAAATCTGACTAAGGTCACAGTATGTGCTGAAAAGTGGGCAAAGTTTGAAAAAAAACTAATTAGCACTTTAAAGAGTGCCTGTTTAGGTAACACAGCTCAAATTCCAGTTAATAAAGAAGGAGCCACTATTTTACAAGAAGTGAAATAATAATCAGACCACTCTTCTGTCTTACTTCATATCCTTTCAGTATTACATTGAAGTGACTTACTGATAAAGAAGTCTTCCAAAAAATTAAAAATAAAAAAAATATTAAAAAGTCTTCCTATTTGCAAACCATAAAAATAATCGAATTCAATGTTATTTGGAAACTACAATATATAAAAACAAACTTGCCGTTTCTCTGAATCCAAGGAATAAGAAGCTGAAAAGAACTATAAGTTTTATATATATATATTATATATATGTATATATATATATGGCTTTATTTATTGACAATCGTTTTTCAAATTGAAGGTTACGGGACACTGCAAAATACCAAAATGCCTTTAGTCATCAGATTTAATTCTGTTCACATATTTTGAATATTAAAAATGTATCTCATTGTATTTGAAGTCATGAGAGGTATCAGTAATAATTTTCCATTAAGCAGCATCAGAGCCAATCTGAATGTATGCCCAGTCTCTTTTCTGGAGCCTGTTACAAATAGGCCCTAATTTTCACGTATGCTCTAACTTATAACAAACACTACTGTGCCTCTAGCTTTCCCTAGAAAGTTTGGTGGACTGCCAGAAGCTGGGGATTGTAAATGGGGGACAGTCTGGGGCAATTAGGGTATTTAGTTTGCCAGAACCTACTAGTCCTTGAACATTTTGGATAAATGGGTATTTCCTGTTCTTGGGAAGGCCCTCTGCCCCATGTCTCCCTTGCTACTCAGTCAAATGGCGAGTCAGGCGGGAGTCTGCAAAAGGAATCCCTGTTATATAAGGAGGGCCTGTCTACAGACAGAAGCTGCATCAATTGAAAAGAAAATTGGGTCTGATTTGAAAACCAGTATGATCCCAGTAGACTCTTTCAGAGGCAGAATATCGAGCTGATACGTACAGGGCAGAATATCAAGGCAGAATATCGAGCTGAATATCGAGCTGATATGTACAGGGCAAGCTTTCTGGATGAGGGCACTTGCATTTTGGGGGCACACGGTAAATATGGAATAGCAGGCTATCAGCCTGAAATTTGACAGGCTTTCATTAGAATAAAATTGCAGTCTCATCTCGGACTTACAGAGCAGAATTGAGCCCCATTTCTGGGAATGCAGGTAACAGGGGAACTGTGTTCCATTTGCTGAGATCTTGGTTCCTTTGTGAGTCAATTTTCTCATCAGGGGAGTGGGGTTATCTATCCTGCCCTCCTTAAGCTGTGCCTGTACCTAATGAGGCAGTTAGTGTAAAGTACTTTGAATAAGTAGAAGGGGCTCTGTAATTGCAAGATACACATCGTTAAGTGTTCTCACTGCCTGGCACAGAGCGGGGCACGCATCCGTCGTTCAGGATATTTCTGTGGAACAAAAGAATGTCCTAAGTAGACAATTCATGTTTGTATGGCAATTTCTCATTTGAAAAGCCCATTTCGGGGCAGCCCCGGTGGCTCAGTGGTTTAGCGCCGCCTGCAGCTCAGGGCGTGATCCTGGAGACCCGGGATCGAGTCCCACGTCAGGCTCCCTGCATGGAGCCTGCTTCTCCCTCTGCCTGTGTCTCTGCCTCTGTGTGTGTGTGTGTGTGTGTGTGTGTGTGTCATGAATAAATAAATAACTAATCTTAAAGAAAGAAAAGAGAAAAAGAGAAAAGCACATTTCGGTTCACAATCTCTTCGTGGCAGCTGCGTTCCTTAGGTATTATCGGTGTCCTTTCTTTTGTATCTGCAGAAATGGCAACTCGAAGAAGAGGTGGCTAGAAACTGGCAAAACTGATGCAAACCCGGATTTGTGTAATGTCAGATGTAGTGTGCAGCATCCCCTCACACTACACTGCTTCTTTTGGTCACTGCCTTTTTAAGGAAGGGATTTTTTTTTTAAGCTAAAATGAGGAAAACCCTCCAAAGCAAACATGATGCCTAACTTTGAGGCATTCTGCCTAGGATTTATTGCCATGGTGGATATTGAAAAGGTTCTTTATTTCCACGGTCTGATGATCACAAGAGAATTGGAACCCTTCACATCTGCGGGTTCATGAGTTAAGTCTAAAAAAAAAATTCTGGAAACCCAGAAATTTGTTAGTTGGGTTTGTCATAAACAACTTGCCCTGCTAGAGCCTAGGAGAGTGGAGAAGCGAATGCTCCTTCTTGGCTATCTTACTGCACCCAACTGTGAAGACAAGAGGGTTAGTTTAAAGACCGGGTATTGAGAAAAGTCTGTAAACAGAATCAAAGCTAGGGCTTTGGGAATCAACCAAAGAGTGCCTCTGGCTAACAAAGGGAATGAGCACATCTAAAATGAGGCCCTCCTCTCCGCTGTGTCCTGAGGGTCCTATCATGGGTGGTTGGGTGAAACAGAGTGGGGGGAGGTTTGCATTGAGACAACGGCCTCAAGCAGTACTATTTCAATTAGGACCCACTGCCTTAGAGATAAAGTCTGAAGAAGGCTGTGTGGATGCAGGCAAGCGGGAGGGATGGGTCCAGAGGGGGGTAAAGTTGGAAATGGCCAGAAGTAGAGGGAGCCTGCCAGGTAGACTATAAGGCTTCAGTTGGTGGTTGGAGCTTTTGTTACTCACTGAACTGGAAATCATGGGGAGCTGGGCAAAAGCTTACGAAAGAAATCACTTGTTCTTCACCTGTGGGTCAGCCTTAATGTAGAAACCAGATTTTGCTCTAAAACATGAAATCTGCCTCAGTTTCTTAAAGAGAACTGTTCTCTGATAGAGGAAATTCAGTCTGCAGTTTACAAACTGCTTTTGCCCTGGGGGGTGAGTGGGAGAGAAAGGACTGGCACTTAAAGTTGGGGCGGGGAGAGCATGGTGCCTGAGGTGTTGTCCCTGGCTGGTTTCTCCCCCACACCTCCCCCAGCCCCGCCCTTGGTTCCTCCTTGTGCTGCACTTGAAGCAAAATAGGAGGTAATAGCAATTAGGAGTTTGTGGAGCAAACTGAATGTAAAGGATCGGATTCTGCCCAAGCATGAAGTAGGGGCCACTCTAGCCTCATGTGAACCTGTGGGGTGGTGTGGAGAGGGAGAAGTAAGAGTAACTCAGCATCCGTGTTACACAGGGTGCTCACTTCCGCAGCACATACATTAAAATTGGGACGATACAAAGCAGATTAGCATGGCCCCTGCACAAGTGTGACAGGCACGTGACCCAGTGAATAGTGCTGTCCATGTCTACACAGGCAGAGTCATAGACCATATGAATGCACACGCATCTACCAGGGAACATATAACTGACCAGATTCCAATTGTTGGCCAGATATCCTGAGGTCTGAACGGGACCATAAAAGTCCTCTGATCTGGCCTTATCTCGGACATATCTACTCCATCCAGAGAGAAGTTCAAAAAAATTCAAAGAAGAAAAACAACAGTGCACAATTTCTTTTAATTCCATTGTTGAAGAACTTTATCAAAGAATACAAAACAATTCAGAATCATAAAAAGAGCACAAGTAGTTAGCAGATCCAGGATCAAGTCCCAAATACCACCATTTAGTGTCAGTAACAGCTCTGTCCCTCAGTTTCCCCATAAGCACAGTGGAAATATGATGGCTGTCCTGTATACTTCAGAGAACCATGTTGGGGGGATCTAATGAAATTAAGCTTGCAAACATACCTTTAACTGTTGAAGATAAGATGTACAGTGGCAGTATTAGAAAGCATGTACAGTGGCAGTATTAGAAAGCATTAATTTTTAGCAAATTAAATCTCTCTTCTGTCTTAGCGGAAAATGAGATTTAATCACCTGCCTTACTGAGGGGGGCACTTGGCAGGATGAGCACTGGGTGTTATGCTATATGTTGGTAAATTGAACTCCAATAATTTTTTTTTAAAAAAATCACCTGCCTTAACTATGACACTCACTGACATTTAAAAGACCGATATAAAATGTCCCCTCTGCTATTCGATACCCTCCCTCTCTTCCACCTCTCCTTTTTGGCTGGCTTGCCCCACTACCCGTTTTTTCCCCTCTTGGATTAATAAACCCATCCTCTAATGCTAATTTTACAGCTTTGCGAGAATCTAATTCCAATTTTTATAGAATGTTATAGGCTGGAAGGACTCTTAGAAATCACAACACCCCACTCCTCACTCTCACAGGAAGGTGAAAGCACGGGCCCAAGGTTACACACACATAGTTAGTGACAGAGCTGGCGCTAAAACTCAGACCTCTTGCTTTTGAGAATTCTCATTGTCTTCTTCTCCACAAGAATGCACTAGGAGTTTTGTGTTTGAATTGCAAGCTGTCAGAAGATGAGATGATTTCAAATCAAGGCTAATCAAAGAAACACTGTTTTGGGGTCACAAAGGGACTTTTTTCTGCTTTTAATTTAGGAACTGAAAACACCCAAGAACATGGAAAGACTTTTTTTTTTTTTGACCTATTCCTGACGACAGCAAGTGTTTTGACTTTTTCCCTGGCTTTCTAGGGACTCAGTAAGGATAAATAAAGAACAGTATTTAAATTCCAAGTATTCACAAGTGGACACGTGCATATGCACACAAACTGCCAGAGGAATGAAAGAGTTAATTAGCAGTCTCCCACCCACGCACCCACTAGAAGAATCTTTTTTTTAAATTCCTCCACACTGTAAAATATCCTTAATTTCACAACAAAGATTAGTAAATGAGACCTTAGCCATATTCCAATAGAACATTCATACAAACCGTGATGCTTTATCCTGAAGTGGGAGGAGGTGCCTGTCAGGATGTTAGGATTTGTTTCATTTTCCTATATGATTCTCACCAAACTTCAAGCTCCAAATCCTCAGAACTAATTTTCAATTGCAATACCGTGAACATTTTTCTGCCCCCGCCCCTCGCCCCACTCAGCCCACTCTGGCCAAGTAGCCCACGTAAGCCCCTGAAACTCGTGAGTGGCAGTGTAGTGGGGAAGAAGGGGACAGAGCCCCGACTGCAAATCAAAGTTTAAGCTAGAGCAAAAATTGGAGAAGAATCAAAGCAGGCTGGCCAGGGGCTAATAATGAAAGATCCAAGATATACCTGTCAGCAGGGCAGGAGGACCCCCAGCTGCGTGGAAAGGACAGCCTCAGCTGCCATTTCCTCTCGTGCAAGAGTGCGCAGCCTGTACATCCCACTTCCAGGGCTTTTAAAGACCTTTTGTACATAGTAGATCCAAAATTATGCCTGCATTTCAATAATTTGCCCACAGCTGTGGGTCAGCAGAAGCTAGAAGGAAGTCCCGTCAGCCTGGTTTCTCCCTCCATGCCTCCTTTCCAGGTTTGTTCTTCCTTATCAGGTATTTTGGGTCATGGAAGGCAACACACACACACACACACACACACACACACAAAAAAAAAACCAAAAACCAACACACAACTGATCGATATCACCAGAAAAAAATCTCATTGCCAGACAAACACAATCCCCCAATCAAAAATCATTCCATTCATTTTGAAGTTTTCAAACTATTCTGCACACATATTGGATTCGGACACATCAGAAACTTATAGCTACAGAGTTTGATTAACTATAAAGTTCAAGTTTTTTCACGTCTTCTAGCCTCCAAGTTATCCAGCAAATAAAATTCCAGGATAAGGCTGCAAATGCCCTCTCTACTCACCTGAGTTATCCCAGGAGCCTTGCTGCAGCTGCCGCCGCTGCCACTCTTAGCCAGGTAACCCCTCCAAAGTCTGTTCAGTGAGTGCGGCTGAACAAAGATTCAGGCTTTCTTAACCTGAAAACTATTTGGGCTGTACCAAGCTCTGCTCACAGGGGGAGGTGCCTCGAAGAAACTTCAGGAGCCTTTGCCCCGCCTAGCAGTCAGAAACTGATCCTGAGTCATGAGGAAAATCTGGAAAGCTCCCCTGCCAGATGTGCAAACGGGATGCCCACTCCAGATCCACCCACCAGCAAATTGGAAAACTCAGGAAGCCACGTTTGAAAGCTCTCTCCTGTTCCAAGGAGAAACAGGACTTTCAGGGAGAGGTCTGCAAGATTTCTGACTTTTCTGTCCCGGGGTGAATAGTGCAGATGTGGACATTACTCGAGAGGGGACATGGAGAGAAAAATCTTGAAGTGTCGACAAAGTTCTTATGGGCTAGGCTGCAGGCATGGCCCTTGTACACGGATCTCTGAGGGTGGTGAGGGCTTCTGCAGGTGAGTGGGAGAGAACGCGGAGCTGATGGGGTATAGGAAAGAAAAGATTGCTTTGTGAAGCCACAGGTCACTTTTGGCCAAGGGCAGAGAGAAGGGAGCAAGAAGAGGGAAGCAAGTGGGGTTTGATGCCAAAGCAGTTGTAGGGATTTCAAGCAAGGGGGCCATGGCAATTCTACCTGGCCATGTTCGGCGTAAAGTAGAGCAAGTAAGTGTCTGCTCTGAAAGGCCAACCATGAGGCTTCAGGGGGATACTTTAGGGGAATACCTGTAAAATGCTCTGCTGCATCCTTGTCAAGGCCCTGCTCCCTGAGACAATCACCGGGACACAGTCCCCAGGGACACAATTCCCACGTTGTTTTGTTTGTTTCAGTTTTCCCAACCTATGAAGGCTCACTGTCTCATTCCTTCTCCAGCTCGCCTAACCAATGTGGTGCCAAACTCTTGACCTGAAATTATCACTCCCTGCCCCTACCCCCTGTGCCAGGTCTCCTCCTGGCTAGTGGAAGGAAGGGAGACAGGGGAAGAGGGAGAGAGGGAGAAAAAAAAAAAACAAGCAAGCAAAGACTCCAAGCAGGAAAGAAAGTGTGCTCTGTCTCCTCACTGGCCCCATACCGGTATTTTCATGAAACAGATCTGAGCAATTCTGTGACTGTGGTCTCTGACACCTTCCTCTTGGCATCTCCCCATAATTCCTTCTGTGCCTTCTGCTCCTCAATGCCAAGATGGAAACTGAGCCAGAGGTAGGGGGCAATACAAAAGGCCAAATCCCAGCAGAATTTTGGCTTTAAATAGCGGCAACCAATTTGGTGCTTGAGTGACAGATTTCTCATGCAAGCATCCCCCATGTTGTGGGATTTGGGCTTTGAAACCAAGCACGGTGGGGGTGTGTTTTTTTTCTGGGGTCATCTTCCTCAGCCATCTTTTCCATCTCTGTAATTTTCAAATGAATAAGGAATCATAGAATCTAAGAAGCTCTGGAAAACAGCTTGCTCCGCGTTTGAACATCCCCTACTTGTTAAAAACTTATTCCTTACGTTGAGCAAAAATCAGCTTCACACAAACTGCTTTGAATTCCTCTTTTACATGATAGACTTCTACAGTGTTTGTCACACCAACCCAAGTCTTCTGTCTTCCAGGTGCAATATCTTCAGTTCACTTAAACCATACTTAATGAAACACGGTTTTCCAGATCCTTTTGTCATTCTGGTTGTCTTTTGAGCACAGATCTGCTCAGTGTGCAGCTTGTAGCTCAATTAAATCCACCTTCTGTTTCTTGTATGGACTATTATTTGCCTGATTCCATGCTTATGCAATTGACTTTGATTTTAACCTAGATGTTGGGTTACACACATTCCCAAGAACCATCACCAGTGTATTTTTTATTTCAATGTATCCCTTAGAACTTTTTTAGATCTTGAGTCTTTGGTATAAAACATATTCTCTATGCCATTTTTTCTCTTAACCCTTTTTTTCATGATCACACCTCTAAAGACCCTTTTTAGACATTATTTTCCTAATATTTTCCCATGAGAGTTTCATGAGAGTTTCATAGCATGGATATGCTGTACATGTTTATTTATTCTATGCATATTTGTGCTCTATTTTAAAATATTTTTTTCATTCCCCAAGGATGAGATTTTCCCTCTTGGGGGTAATATCACCCCCACTGACAGTGCACAATCTATATCACCAAGATTCTTTTATCAGCATATTTGATCAATCAGACTAATACAATTATTGAATGAGTTAGGGTCCAGGACAGAACACCACATCATGACCTTGGCATCCTCCCCTTAACTAACAACCACGTTTAATACGGTTGTTCAGGTGACTCTGCGGTTGAGCATCTGCCTTCAGCTCAGGGCGTGATCCCAGGGTCCGGGATCGAATCCCACATTGGGCTCCCTGCGGGGAGCCTGCTTCTTCCTCTGCCTATGTCTCCGCCTCTCTCTGTGTGTCTCTCATGAATAAATAAATAAAATCTTTTAAACAATAAGGCTGTCCAAACTTGAAGCAGTCCATATAGTTTCTGCCACCATCCAGCTCCTATTTT